AATCATCATCAGCATCATCATCAGCATCACAATCACCAAGACCATCATCCCCTTAACAATCATCATCATTATCATCATCATCAGCAGCAGCAGCAGTTACCTGGAGCCGACCCTGATATACTCTGGTCTGTTTATGAATCTAAACGTCACCACAGCCTTCTCATTCATCTGCATACCACCCTGTTTTCCATCATTAATTATTAATTAATTAATTTATTATTCATAATTACATATGCAGTTACATTGTTTTCGGCAATTATGGTGAGAAAAGTTTCCTAGATAACAAAACGCATTTTCTTTCTAATTTTCAGTATAAAAAAATACATTTTTCAAGGATCGGGAGAAATGAAGAGGTGCTCCAAAATGTCTTTCTCCCCCCGTCAAATTTTGACACTTTTATAAAACTCGCCCACAGGTTTTGTATCCCACCTCCACCATTTTTTGAAAAATATTGGCAGCATCGAGGTAGTAATAATAATTAAATACAAACAGTAATAACACAATAAGAGTAATGAACAATACATAATGATAATTATAATAATAGTAATAATAATGACAGGGGCGTAGCCAGGGGTTCAACCCCCCCTCTTCAACAAAATGAAAAAAATGAAGAGAATTTAGATCCTAAACTTATTGTCGGCGTATTCGCATTGAATAAAAAACGAAAAATTTGGTTGCGATAATTCTAAATGTGATAAACCTCATAGCGTTGAACAACGCTCCGTTTCCGGTTAAGTTGATAAAATTATAAACATATATTAATATTAACAAATGTGTGTGCGTGTGTCATATATCTTTATGTAAAATTGTAATTCAATTAAAAAAAAATTCTCTAAAATTTTTCAAAATTCCAATCGAAAAATAGTTTCTGGCTAGGCCCAGTGATGGGAACATTCTTTTTTTTACCGAAAAATAAAATCCAAATGGAATCCATCGAAGATTATTAATTATATATCAGAGTGTAAATAAATAAAATATAAAATATAATGTAAGATCCTCTCATATGCTCTCTAATCAGCAAGTGCCTGAGAGTAAAAAAATAGATATATTTAAAATCGGTTAAGTAGTATTTCTGTCACAATATATAATATGCTATACGACGAGCTAATTACCGCGTTAATAATAATAATATTACCATTAATTAATACTGTAATAATTAGAGGTACCTTATTCATTTTAATTATCCTGGCCGTCTGCCGAACATTCCCGACGTGAACCACTGTCTGAAAACCTAATAACAACAACAACAACAACAACGACAACAACAACAGCAACAACAACGACAACAACAACAGCAACAACAACGACAACAACAACAACAACAGAAACAACAACAACAACAATTATAATAATGGTAATAATAATAATAACAATAATAATAACAATAATAATAATAGTAATAATAAATAACAATAATATTAAAAACAAATAAACTAGTGCACGAACGGATGGGTGAATGCATGAATGAATGAATGAATGAATGAATGGGTGAATGCATGAATGAATGAATGGGTGAATGCATGAATGAATGAATGGGTGAATGAATGAATGAATGAATGAAAGAATGAATGAATAAATGAATGGGTGTATGCATGAATGAATGAATGGGTGAATGAATGAATGAATGAATGAATGAATGAATGAATGAATGAATGAATGAATGAATAAATTAATTAATAATAACAACAATAATAATAATGATGATGATGATGA